AAACAATTTCTTCATTATCATCAACAGCAAATACATGAACTACCCTAAAGGCTTCAGTTAGTAACTCCTGAAGTATCCTAATTCCATCAGAATCTTGAACCAAAAACAAATTTTCAGAAGGTCCTTTCACAAGTACTTGTTTAACTAATACAAAACCCAAGTTATTTTCAAACACCTCTTTTATGTCAATCAAATTTAGGTGATTGGAATTAAAGGCCCTCAAAGAATGAACATACCTCTCATCATATAGTAGGTGAGGTTTTAAAGTCCATTTACCTCCATGGTGAAATAACAGATCAACATTCATATCTTCCATATTGAATTTTCTGCAAAAAAAATAGCAAAACATAAATATATAGGACCCCACATTAATAAACTAAGCACATATAAATAAGAAAAAAGCTTCTAACAAGAATAAAGTGACTTTTATAACATATAAAAACAAAGCAAGTGACTTAGCAGTAAAAAAACACCAAAAAGAGGGATTAAACAATACTTAGATTGGGACCACACATTCAGATTCGAGAATAAAAATCTTAAATTATTTGAAAGTAGCCTAAATATGTGTCAATACCAACATAAAAACAGCAAGAAGGGACCTCAAAACAAGATAAAAGACAAACAAGACTTTAACTCCTCCCGACAGATCAAATCCCAACACATGTAAAATTGAAGGAAAAGTAGTATTTTATCTCAAATATGAAGAATCATCAGAATATACATCAATATATACTAAAATATTGGCAAACCAATTTTGCATATAAACCCTAACTTCAAAATACAACTATGAAAAATATTTAAAATCCTACTGCAAGTAAACAAAAAATCAGTTACATACTGAAATAGAAGAGAATTTACCTTCTAGATCGAGATTCCAGAAGAAAAGATTCTTCAAGTGAAATATGTTCTTCAAAAAATTCTCCTTGGTGAATTGAATAATGAAAATGGAATGAGGTGAAAAATATGACGTTTCCCTCCTAAATTTAGTGGGTGGGTCTAATAAAAATGGGTTAGGGTTGAATTATTAATTGGGTCAAAAATTTTAGTGGGTATCCTAGTTGGCAAGCCTATGTGGCGGAATTAGTGCCATGTGGCTTGCCAAATCACTTCTGTTAAGTCCCAAGGGTAATTGTGGTCTCTTAGAATAACGGTAGGGGCATTTTTGATCCTAAAATGTAACGGAGGGTAAAAGTGGTCTATATCTCATAGTTCAGGGGCAATTTTGACCCTTTTCCGAATAATATTTGACAAAAATTTGTATGAATTATAGAAGGAACTAAATACCAAAAGTTGTACCCAGCAACGGTTCAAAAATCCTAATTCCCTCCAAAAACCCAAATTGAATTTCTTCAAAATCACTTGCAGAAATGGCTTCCAAATCTCTAAAACCTCCAAAACAACCACCAAAAAACCCTAAAAAACAATGGTCCCTCAACGATTTCGAGATCGGAAAACCCCTCGGAAAAGGCAAATTCGGCCGTGTATACCTCGCCCGCGAAGTTAAGGTAATTTCAATCATTCTCGTTTCCCGATATGCGCATTAGATTCAGCAAGTACCTAATATGAGTTCGGTTTGCATAAACAATGTAAATATGTGCTAGTATTAGATTTAGAATCCAGAAAGTTGAAATTTTAGTTTTGTTTTATTAGAAGAAGAAAAAAAGTGTTTTGTTTTGATGAACTTGAAATTTTACAGAGTGGATTTATAGTGGCCTTGAAAGTCATATTCAAGGAGCAAATAGAGAAATACAGGCTGCATCATCAACTTAGGAGGGAAATGGAGATTCAAACCAGCCTTCGTCATCCCAATGTACTGAGGCTATATGGTTGGTTTCACGATGAGGAGCGGATTTACTTGATTTTGGAGTATGCTCATGGCGGTGAGCTGTATAGGGAGCTAAGGAAGACCGGTCGCCTGTCTGAGAAACAAGCTGCCATAGTATGTCACATCCTATTGCTTGCTCTACTCATATAAGATTTGAAACGAAAGCATATGGTTCATTTGCAGTATTCTGATTTGTTTATGTAATTTGTTATAAGCATATATTCATTGATTCTAGTGTTAGAGAGCTCCATATTATTTAATATTTGAATGACACGGGTACAAATGAAGCAATGGATTGTGAGATTCTCATTGCTGACTCAACTAGCTTGGGATTGAGGCGTAGTTTTGTTGTTTAGTTGTGAGCTTTTAAATTGTTTCAACTGATCGCCTCTTCCCCCGAACCCAAACAAAGAGGATAGAGATTCAGTTCTTTCGTTATCTATTACTATGTGACATGTAAGGTATGGTCTTTTAAGTAGTTTACTTGAAAGAAGGTGCAATTTTGGGTTGCATTTGTATCAGTTGGTACTTTTTCATTTTCATAGTGTCTTGTTTATGTTATTTCTTCTGTGCTTAATGTTGAACAATGAACTATTGTTATCATTTACTATTTTGTCCTTTTTATGACTCCAGAGTTCATCTGAAAATTGCTTATGGAATAGTCGAACACATAATTACATTTATGTAGCAAACATTATTCAGTGTTCAACTTCTTTCCTGTTGCTTTAGGTTTGTTCTTTGACTTTTGATACTTTGGTTGTTTCTTTTGTAGTATATTGCAAGTCTCACACAAGCACTAGCGTACTGTCATGAGAAGCATGTTATTCACAGGGACATAAAGCCAGAAAACCTGTTACTTGATCATGAGGTAACATCTTGATAACTGACTGTCTTCCTTTGCCACATCTGCTAAGATTTATTAGCACCATTTCATAGAAAGAAGAAAAAATACACACTATATATATGGCTAATTTGAAAGTTACACCTGTGTTTTTACTGGAGTTAACAGTTTGAACCGTCTACCCTTTCATTTTGGCAACACTGATATACAAGCTAATTTCTGAGGAGCAAAATATAAATCAACTTTAGTTTCCAATGTTTGTGTAGAGACAACAGTGGAATACAAGGAAGTTCTGACAGTTCTACTTGTTGATAGTCAAAATGCCTTTAGTCACTGGATTCTAAAGCTGAAGATTGGCATGTATTAGCTAACTTTCACTTTATTCAATTGTTTTCTGCAGCAGTTAATAAAGTAATAAGACACCCTGCCTTTTTCAAATGTTTTAGACCCTAATCACTTTGCTAGAGATGAACATACAATTACAGCTTAGTTTATCATTCATTGTGCTCTCTAGAGCTCATGAGTCATGACCAGCTTGTAGAAAACGCATAGCCTTCATCATGTTTCTTGCATTAATGTGTATTGGATTAATCTTTCAAATTACATGAATTTGTTTTGAATTAATTATGAGAGAAGTACTTTTGAAGCATTTATTTCAAATGAGCCAGAGTATTTTTTTTAATTTTTTTTTTATGTTGGGCCAAAGCCTATTTTATTGATAATGATGAAAAGGGAAAGTAACAAGGTCTGTTCAGACAAAAGAAATAACAAGAGAAAAGTAAAAAAAAAGGAGAAGGGTTATGGAGGCTTCCATTTCCTTCTTTATTGCAGCTTGTCCCTCTTCTTTGAGAGAATAGGTATGCCTTTGTTGCTCAATCTAAAATCTATCTTGTTTGCTTTATGAATTATGGAACCAATTTTGGTTGCCTTGTCTTATTTGTGCAAAGCTCTTTGATGCCTTCTCTGTAGCTTCAAATAAATGGAGGTGCTCTGCTCTGTTGTCCTACAGATTTTGTAGTTACTCTTGAAGCTTGAGCAACTCCTGTTATTCTATGCACCCTTTCTGATTGGACTATTTCAAAACTCGTGTTGTTGTCGCCTGTAATCTTCTTAAATGAGCTAGTAGGAGCCATTTGAAAACTTGTTGTTTCTATCCTCTTGTGTGGATTTGTCTGTGTGATCTTCATTTTGCTCTGTACTTATGAAAGATTATTACATCTATGTAATCCTTCTGGTCTTTATTCTCAGATTTGGGATCCGAGATTTGTTACTATTGAGGATTTTTTTCTTGCTTGTACTGGTAATTCTGCAAAAGAATCATAGTGTAATATACCTTCATTATCCATCGCATGATTAACTAGAAAGTCTGCCAACTGATTACCCTCTCTGAATATGTGTGTGATTTGGGCATGAGTGATGTGCATGTTTTCACGAATTTCTTCTATCATGTCATTGATTTCCCATGGTATCCATTGCTTTTGAATCATCCTCACAACTCCCAATGAATCTGTTTCTATGATTGTATTGTGGACATTAGTGGATTTGCAGTATCTTGTATCTTCTAGAATTGCTCTTAACTCTGCTTCTATGTTAGTGGTCTTGTGTATCTCCTTTGTTTGAGCAAAAATCAAATCCCCTCTCTCGTACCTTATGCAGTAGCTATATGAGCTTCTCCCAGGATTTCCTCTACTAACCCCATCAGTGTTGATTTTCAATTTTCCCGTTGGTGGTAAATCCCATATGACCTTAGCATAGTACAACTTGGGTCTATAATTGCTTAGGATTCTGATCATCCCTTTCCATGCCGATAGCATATTAGAAATCTATGGAAACCTTACTCTTGTGAACTGATATATCAATTGGTGTATTTGATGTCAGTCTACTGTAAGAGACCTCTTTCCCGTGTTTGATAGAGTTTCTTCTTTTCCAAAGTTCCCAGATAATGAAGATAGGAGTGACTTTTAGGACTGGTTTCATCTTAGGAGCTGCATTACTGTTCCACCAAGTAATAAGTACTAGAGAGAGCTGCATTCCTTCCATAGAAACACCTGCACATGAAGCAAATTGCCTCCATAGCTTTGCAGCTATTGGAGAAGTTAGAAATAAGTGATTCATTGTTTCTTGTTGGTAGTGTACACAACACCAACATCTAGAAACAATATTTATGTGCATTTTCTTGAGATTATCATCAGTAGAAATTCTCCCTCCCACAACTTTCCACATGAAGATACCGACTTTGATAGGCAACACCTTTTTCCCAGATGGATCTATATACTTCCTGCTTAGTATTTTCAGGTCTCAAATATTCCAGTGCACTCTTGACTGTAAATTCTCCTGAGTTATCAATGGTCCATATTGGAGTATCATTCCCTTCTTCTAACATAGGAGGGTTGATATTGTCCCTGATGTGTTGAACCATAACCTCTGGTAGATTTTCATTCAGCTTTTCAATCTTCCATACTCCATGTAGTACATAGCTTGTCACCTCAGCTTCTTCCTCTATCAATCCATCAGGGAGAGTGAAGTACAGCGCACCAAACCCTGTCCAGTTTTCAAACCAGAAACTAGAATTCCCTTGTTTAGGTTTCCACCAATTCATGTGTTCTATTACCTCCCTAGTTTGTATCATCTTCTTCCAGATATTGGAACTGTTTCTTCCCTCTGCAATGACTGGGTGTAGCTTTTTGCAATATTTATTGCACATATATTTACTCCATAGGCTTGTAGTGGTTCTAAAATTCCACCATAGCTTAACAAATAGGGCATTTGAAGTATCCTTAGGGATCTGAATCATAATCCTCCTTCATCCTTTGGTAAACATAGAGTTTCGCAAGCCACCCAATGTTTATTCTTAGTCCCTGGTGTATTATTCCAAAAGAAATTAGCAAAAGTTTGATGGATCTGTTTAATCACTCCTACGAGGGGATTCATAGCTGAAAGTAGGTAAATTGGCATGGTTTGTAGAACTTGTTTGATCAAAATATATCTACCACCAATGAGAGTAATCTATTCTGCCACGATTGTACTCTACGTAATCTTCTTCACCAGATCTTCAAAATATGCAATCTTCCTCCTTCCATAGAAAATAGGACATCCTAAGTATGTAAAGGGGAAACAACCTTTTTTCATACCTAAGGTATTTTGAATTCTATTTGCAATGTGATTTTCAGTCTTATGGTGGAGATAAAAGTAGCTCTTCTCAGTATTGATCATCTGTCCTGAAGATCTTTCATATCTTTTCAGAATTCTCATCATTTTCTTCAGTGACTTATTATCTCCTGAGCAGAAGATGATAGTATCATCTGCATATGAGAGATGATTGATCTGTGGGCTCCATTTTGGCATACCATAGCCTTTGAAACCAGGATTCTCATGGAGAGAGTTTAAGCGCCTCTAGATAGAGCTTCTGCAGCCAATATGAACAAAGTAGGAGATAGAGAGTCACCTTGCTTTACTCCTCTAGAGGATTTGAAAAAACCCTAACTTTGTCCATTAACTAGTACTGAGTACCATAGATTGGAGACTAGCCTCCAGATCATGTCTATGATAACTGCACTGAATCCAAACTTTCTGAGGACTGTAGTTAGAAACAACCAGGATAGCCTGTCATAAGTTTTGGCCATGTCTAGTTTGATCACCACATTCACATTCTTGGCTCTAATTTTGATGTCCCTGATAATCTCCTGTGCTAATAATACATTTTCTATTATGCTTCTACCCTTAACAAAACCTGTTTGAGAAGATGAAATTAGAGAAGGTAGGATCGCAATCATTCTTTCATGCATTACTCTAGAGAAGATTTTGTTGACAAAGTTGCTCAAACTTATAGGTCTCATATCTGCAAATGTGTTGACAGAATCCTTTTTGGGTAAAAGCACTAAATTTGTGTGTGTATGAACTTAGGCAGTTCATATCCACATAAGAATGTTTTAACCATAAGAGTAATTTCTTTTCTGATAATACCCCAACACTTTTGGTAGAAGACTCCAGTAAAGCCATCAGGTCCACTACAACTGTCCCCGTTAAGAGTAAATACAATCTTTCTAACTTCCTCCTCTGTTGTTAATGCTTCAAGAGTTAGGTTCTGTTCCTCTGTAATATTCTTTGGGATATGATTTAAAATCTGAAAATTTGTAGGCATTCTTTCTTCCAGAAACTGATTTTCAAAGAATCTTACTGCCTCATCCCCCATCTCTTCTTTTCCTCTAATCCAGATCCCCTGATTGTTTTGAATTCTCTGCAAAGCTAATCTCTTTCTCCTTCCCTTTACATATGAGTGAAAGAATTTAGTATTTTTCTCCCCATCCTTAAATCATCGCATCCCAAATTTGTGTTTCCAAAACTGTTCCTCTAATTGTAGGAATTCAAAGTGGAGCTCCCTGTTAATCAGCGAGGGCTCTGTTTCAAACTGCATCTCCTTAACTCTGATAGTGTCCTCAATTGTTGTGATCTTTTGAAATATGTTCCCATATGTGTTTTTGCTCCACTGACTCAATGCTTTCTTCACTTTTTTGATCTTGTGTTGGTATATATAAAAGGGATTACCAGTGAAGTCAGCTGTCCAATTTTGTTCTATCACCCCCATAAAGGTCTTGTGGTTAGCCCAAAAGTTCAATAACTTGAATGGTTTTATCACAACTTAGACCATAACATTGCTCTCCAAATGAAGTGGGGCATGGTCTAAACCTTGTCTGATGAAGTGAGTAACCTTATTTGTTGGAAATAGATCTAGAAACTCCTGATTGCACAAAATTCTGTCCAACCTTTTAAATATGCATGCATCTCCAATTCTTCCATTCCACCAAGTATATTTGCTTCTAGAGAAACCCAAATCATTGAGTTCACATGAGGCAATACATTGAGCAAAATCCAAAGTCTCATTAATGAAGACAGGTAAGCCAACCAAGTTTCTCATCCTGGTTAAGAATTACATTGAAGTAACCACCTACCAGCCAAGGTTTATTATTCTCTGCAATATGAACCAGTGAGTCCCACAGCTCTTCTCATATGTTAGCAGCACATTTAGCGTATATGGCAGTCACTATAACCTCTTGTTGACCTCCATCCTGCTTCAGATTAATAGTACTGTGTTGATCGGTATTTTCTATAAGACTACCCTGCCAAGCATTTTCCCAGAAAATCCAAATTTTGCCTGAAGAGTTGGCAAGGGCATTGTTTAGTCCCAATTGTCTACCGTATTCCTCCAGATTTGATGCATCTTGGAATGGTTCCAGGATAGCAATAAATGAATAGCGGTATCGTCTTCTTAGATCAACTAGTCTCTCAAAAGATTCCTGAGAGTTAACCGATCTATATTCCAAAATAGTGCCTTCTCAATCATTGAGAAACAGATTTAGATTTGGTACTCCTTGTTGATACTCCCATAGGGCCTAGGGGGAACACTTTTGTTTCGTGGTGCTTTCTTTCTTGCATCACTTTGTTGCAGATTGTATAAATATTTTGGTGACAAATCTGCCTCAATGCTAACTTTTGTAATATTTTGCTGAATCTCTGAGATCTTCTTCCTGACGATTAATGTTGCGATCTCCATTTTGTTGTTCTACCTGTATGTCTGGATCAAATTGATTATTGATGTTCTCATCTTCATCTGGTGGGTCTGAAAGTCTACTTTTTACTATGTCTTCTACCTGACTATTGCCAGCTTTCCCTGTGTCAATCATTCGCATATTTTCTCTCTCTGTATGTGTTTCATTATTCTGTAGCTGATCTTCTTTCATCCCTGTATTTGTGATCTGTCTTTTTCTGTCGTTTAGTTGTTCTTCAAGTTTTTAGTAGATTTGAGACGATGTGACTTAACCTGTTCAGCATACATATAAATCATGCAGGATTTGAACTGGTTATGTCCTTGCCATATTTCTCTCCTCTTCACTTTATACAACCAAATTTTCAAATCATGGCCATTAAATCAGGGAACCAATGTGACAGTCCTAGAGGTGGTGAGGGAAGGTCCATAACACTATAGATCAACTCGAAGGTTCACGTTGCTTTGAAATTCAGCTTTCCTCTTTAGTCCCGACTCCTGAGGGTCGAACCTTGAGAGACCATTGACCTAACCAGATATAGGTATATCCTTCAGATATATCTTTCCTGTAAAATTCAATCAGCTTCTGTTTTTTTCACGGAAAAGGAAAAAGCAGTAGAGCTTCTTGGAGTACTGACACTTTTAGTTGGTGCAAAGCTTTGACACCATAGTTGCCTAGGCGACTTTAACTCCTGCTTGCTGATCGAATCAGCCTATTGAACAAGCCTTCAAAAGCTCTTCTCTGATCAATCTTGTTTCCAATGTCACTGCCTATATTTTTGTTGTTGCATTTTCTGTTAATTTACAGAGGCTGGAAATACTGCTTTGTAATCTTTCTTCTGTTATATAGAATTCTTTCGATTTCACCTCATGTCGCTGTATAACCAGGCTCAAGTAAAATAGCGACTCTCTGATTCTTTATTAATTTTGGCTAAAGTTGTGAATGTGAGACATTAAGTTCTACATGTGATTTGTCATTCTGACGATCACCAGAGCTTGCACCATCTATCTCATTTTGTTTTGACGTAAATTAGCCTGTTCAAGAAAAAAATGTCTGAATTGTAAAATTCACTACCTTCAAAAGATAGCTAGTATATTTAAATAATTTCATGTCTTTCAACCATTATTTCATAGGATAATGACAATCGAGACCAAGGGAATATATCTGTAGATGTATCCTAATAAAACCATATATAACAGAGCACTTAGGATGGTCCTATTAAGATAATGTTAGCGCTTAGGTCTTTTTTGGGCGTCTCAATTAGAACTGGATTTGATTGTCCAGCAACTGCAGCTAAATCCAACCAGGGAATTGTTGACGCGCTGCATCGTAAGAGTAAAATATTAATTAGATTATCACATTAAATGCAGGGTCGCTTAAAGATTGCAGACTTTGGGTGGTCTGTACAATCTAGAAGCAAGAGACATACAATGTGCGGAACTCTGGACTATCTGGCACCAGAAATGGTGGAGAACAAAGCTCATGATTATGCAGTTGACAATTGGACCCTGGGGATCCTTTGCTATGAGTTTTTATATGGTGTGCCTCCATTTGAGGCCGAGAGACAGACCGACACATTCAGAAGGTAACAATTCTTCTGTTTCTTTTCATCTTGTAACTGTTACTTGGAAAATCAAGATGTACTACTAACACAGAGTATTATAGAATTATGAAGGTAGACCTCAGCTTCCCTTCAACACCAGATGTATCTGGTGAAGCTAAGAATCTCATTAGCCAGGTATATTGATTAGTCCTTGTCTATGCTTTAGCTCTGTAGGAAGAAAAAATTGCATGCAATAGTTGCACAACACTGGCGCAACTACATATGACTTAAGGGTGGTTAGTTGAACACCCTTGGTATAATGCTGTGTATATAAGTAAAACGTTAGTTTTTATAGATTTATGGCTTCTCCACTGACTGCACTCCTTTCTGATGGTTTGTTTACCTTTGCCCTTTGCAGCTTCTTGTGAAGGACTCTTCTAAAAGGCTGTCTCTTCAAAAGATCATGGAGCACCCTTGGATAATTAAGAATGTCACATGACACTATAATGTGAGTCTCGTCGCCAATTTGCATCGTTTAGTTAAATCCCTGTTTGTTGTTTCAACTCTTTTTCCTATTACATAATATGAGATCGCTTCGGGTATATGCATATATTAAAAAGTCACTACATGAGATTTACTTTAGTACTCTAATTTGGCTGTTTGAGATCACCGACTAGCTGTTTTGCAAGTGGAAACACAACAGTAACTACTGACGAGGTGTTATGAAGTTAAAAAGAAATGCTTAACTAGTTTTTCCGTCCATGATCCAACTCTGGTGGGTTTTCCATTATACTTGAACGTGAATTTATTATTAGAATAATGCTGATAAACATTATGTTATGTTCTCCAAATAGCATCGATTTAAGAACAAGAGAGACTGAGAACTGAACAAGCATGTCTGTGACAAGTTCAAGTTCATTTTTGCCAAGGATTAGTGTTATACGATATCACAATTCAGACAGCAAAGAATTGCTGCATCCAATGAATAAAATAATGAATAGTTGTTTTTTAACAGTGAAGCCTGGCTCAGAACATGTTGAGATCAAGTTTCTATTATTTATTTTGATTTCGACACGTGTGGTCTTACAAGTAATGGTGTACTGTACCATGACTCGGTAGTTTTTTTTAAATATTATATGACCTAAATATTAATTAAATTAAATACATGAAAGGGTCAATTAAGAAATAAGAGTAGTATATGTTAGGTCAATTAGTGATGACCTATCCCATATAAAACATTAATGCTTATAAATTTGACAATTTCATTCGTTATAAAGGTGTGATCACGTTTAACTTTTTAGGGTGTTGAATATTATCTCATTTCAAATAGGTCATAAATATATTTAAAGGAAAAAAGACGTTTGCATTCTTTGGTATTTCAAGACTTATTCCTATTACATAATATGAGATGTAATTTGTTGCTTCCCATTGCACACGCAAATGTATGTGATCGCAGAAATAATAAATGACTTTTTTAGAATGGGATTGTGGAACCCAAAAGACTTAAGATTAATTTATGTCTAATTTAAATAATTCCACAAATTAAAGGAAGTGTTTTCAAGAACTTGTGTGTTTCTATACTATGATTGCAATTATTTAAAATGTACAAGTAACTAATCACGACAACTTTAATTTCGGTGTTTTAAACAATAAGTGAACAATTCCAGGGCTGCAACATACTTGAGGTTTCATGTATCTCATCTCATGTATAAGTTAATTACAATTATCAAATCATGGATTTACAGGGTTAATTTTATTATCATGATCATGATCTCTCGACCTCTAATTGCCTACTGCAATTGACGGTCTAACTACATCATTGAGTGGAGATAAACAGACTTGATTGATGAGCATTTATATTTCATCCTGTTTCGTAACCAAGCTCGGAGTTCGTCCGGGTGTCAATCCTAAACACGAATCTAATCAAGTGAAGTGATATGCAAGAAAGATCGAGTTCTTTGTATTCTTTGGTCTATCTACCTCTCTGTCTCTCGAGTTCAAGAATAGACAATATATTTATTATCTCAATGGTGGCCATCATGAAATACTAAAACAAGAATACAAAAGTAATTTAAGCGATAACCAAAATTAATTCATAACAATCGATATTCAACAATCACTCGTAGCTCAACGCCAGAACAAAAGCTTTTAGTCATTCATAATACTCAAGAACTCAAAAATAGTTGTTTTCATGAAATTCAAAAGTAAAGATGGAGTAGAAGATCGAAACCTAAGACAAATTGTTAATCCCTTGCTCTTGTACACGAAAGAAGTAACCATAAAATATCCCTAGGATCCTATTTATAAAGTTTAGGAAAATAATTCTCACTCCTAATCCAATTCGGAGTCCTAAATCAATTAAAATTTGTCGGGAACGCCGGAGTTGGGTTGGGCCGGTGCGCCAAAGAAGCACTTCAGTAGTTCGCCCCTGGCGCGGTGCGCTGCCAGTGCGCCAGGAGTGCTGCTCTGTAGTTTACTGGTTGGGACGGCGCGCCAGATTGCCTTCAGCCTTGATATTTATCGTGCTCGTTTCCCTTTGCTCTCGTCGCCTTCTATATATTTAGCTCATATTTCTTTAGAAATCCCTACATATGCTAATCATGTAGGTTAGTGTGCATTTATCGCAAAACATAATTTAAAGCATATCAGTTAGAATCGAAAATGCTCTCAAAACATAAGGTAAAAGATCATAATCATCTTGATTTCAATAGTTTGTATCAGATGGAGTGTGAACCTTTGTTGATATAGTTTCCTATGAATATTTGTGCATCATTTATACAAATAATTTTACTTGATGTTCTATTATCTTTGATATGGCGTATCAGTTACAAGCACCAAAACATAAAAACAAACTACTAATATAGGTTGAATGTGTAGAAAATCTCTTAAATTTGTAAAAAAAAAAGGTTTATTTAGATGCCTAGATTCACTAAAAGAAAAGTGCGAATTACATGGGGATTTTCTTAGGATTATATATGAAAATTCGCAGGAACATAAGTTTCATGCAAATTTTCCTATAAAAAAATAAAATCTGAAGGTAAAACCTTCATAGGTAATTATTTCCTGGGAATTTCAAAATCCCCAACTAATTTACCTAGGGATTTAAATTTCGCAGGTAAATTACTTGCGAATTTTCTTGCAAAAATTACTAAAAATATCCTAGAAATTTTTGGCAAAATTAACAAAATAAAAAAGATTTTTCTTACCAATTATTTGCAAGTAAAGCCGCATGAAGTATTCAATTTCTTTAAACAATATTAATTATTATCTCATAATTGTTTATTTTATTCATTGAACCCCCATAGGCCAATATATGTACCTACCCACCCACATTTCTCACACCACTACCCACCCATGGCACAATTTAAGAAGTGTCCAATCCCCATGAGATTCAATTTAATTGTCCACCTAGTGTCAAGTCCCCATGAGATTCCATGTCCACTCATTTATAGTTGCTTCTTGAAATTTCATTCTACCAATATTCTAAGTCATAGCATTATAAATGTTAAGTTTTTGGTGTCTTTTTTCAATGTGGTACAAAAGATACCATGATACTACACTAATTTTTTGTGTCTTTCTCCATTTTGATTAATTTTAAATCTAAATTTAATTAATTTAATTGAGTACTTAAAATACCACTTAGATATTCATAAATTACACAAAAGTACTCTAAATTCATCTCATATCAATATGGTATTAAATATATCTTAAATTTGGCTAAAGTTCATGTAATTTGACTCTTATGGTGTGTTTGGTATGAAGGAAAATATTTTCCATGAAAAATGTTTTCCTGAAAAACAAGTAGACTTTGGACTTATTTTCTCATGTTTGGTTGGTGAGTAGAAAATATTTTCCGGAAAAGAATATTTAGTGTTTGATTTATGAATGAATTTTTTTTTTGAGAAAATATCTTTTATTTTTAGTAGAGAGTAGAAAATAATTTTTGAATTGAAATTGAAAATATTTTTTAAAAATAAACTTAATTTTTTTTAGGGGTAGGGTGGGGTG